TTTTTTTTTCTATCGTTATGTATACCTAATAGATGATATGTATACGAAACGCAAGAGAGAGAAATATCGACAAAGCAGGCGTACATCTAAGAATGATAAATAAGCTTAGGAAAAATGGTCGCAGTGTTAGTCGATAACAGTGTACTAGGCTTTTATTTTTCTCTCGCTCTTTTATTGCCACTATAGAACTGACGAGAACGAGAGACAGAGAGAGAGAAAGAAAATTAGAGCTGTCATCTCTACTGTAAAAGAAAAAAAAATAAAAACACAAGAAAATACTTGTATGTTAGCTTGTTATTGCGCTTGTCATCGTTGTATTAGTTTAAGAATGTAATTCTAATATTTTATGGTTTATCTATCAGCTGCTAGTATTATTATTATTAGTTTCTTTTCTACTCTAGTAAAAGAAAGGACAGACACACATTAATATGAAGGCAAATTATGCTAGTATTCGATACCTAAGGGGTACTCATGATTATATATGATTTGCTACATTTGGAATGTAGATGTTTGATTCAATTAATAATTGTTTATTCCATAATGAATACTCTTTATATTTATAGGAGATCTGAGCTTTTTTTTTTTGCATCTCAAGATGTGCATATGTATATGTATGTTATTGAGATTAGATGTCTATCGTACAATCAACAAGAGTAGAAAGATGTACGACGAAAGAACATTTATACAGTCAAGGTTATTTTGTTGACAGATCGCGTTCTATCTGAGACGTCGAATAACACATGCAATTATGAGAATTTATAATTGGAAAAAAACGAACAAGATGGACCAAGGCAATTGATTAAGCATTTGGTTTGTATATTTATTTTTTCTATAAGTAGATTCATTAGTTTTTCTTTTTCTAATCGGTTGTTATATATGACAGTGAACTATGACAGTTAGTAAGTTCAAAGTTATTTGATCTATCATCAGCAATTTCTTCTCACTGTCAACACGGTTGGAAGTAGTACAAAAAAGAATAACATCAAGAGAAAAATGATAACCTCTTACAGGGTTATATATACAATATCAAGCGAGAGAAAAAAAATCTATGCTACAAATTTTTTCCTGATAATAAAAGTTAAGTTTATATTATATTTCAACGAGCAATGCTTTTCATGTATGTATATGTATATATATAGTGAATTTGTTCTCGTATTGCATCTTGTAAACTAGACAATAACAACTGTTTGTTCGCATCGTAAAAGATATTATCTTGTCCAAATTATTCCTGACAGTTAGAAAAGAGAAAAACTCGTTAAATGACATCGAAAATCTATATGATTGATTTTGTTTTTTATGTATCTATTTGTCATATGATAACATTCTTTACCTAAAATATTTGAGATTTGCTTGATATTATCAACTTAAACTGAATTATATCATTATCTAAAATTCTTTTGTTTTTTTCTTGATAATTATCGATTTTCTGAACAAGAAATATATTTTTATCATAAAAATGTCACTTAGAGCAATGACCCATTCAATTCAAGCTAATCAAGTGTACAACTGAAAATAATTATGCAGAAAAATATTATTCTTAACATGTAAACATTTTGTTTTCCTTATGAGAAATATTTGAATAATACAAATTAAATCATCATGAATATTTTTTTTTGAAGTTTAAGATTATTATTTGATTGACACATGCTGATACTATAAAGACTTTTTTTTCTCGACAGCTTGTTGTTTTTATTCGGATGATTTCCAAAACATAACAAACATATGTATTATCTGAATATATGACAGTGTTGCTTTTGGCTGTTTCATACATTGATAGAACGATTCAACTAACAAAATAGACATTGACATAAATCATTTGATGATTTATGAAAACTTATTTTAAATGATATTGCCATGTTATATATGAATAGAGACCTAATTAAATTCAGAAATAATTGTCTTATCTGAAAATATGATTATGAAATTAGTTTGTACTAAAAAAAAGTAAATTAACTAAAATTAGTTCATTTTATGTTATAAATCAACAAACTAATTGTTTCATTAACAGTACTCTTATATCAATCTTTGTTATTATTCTTACTTCTCATATAGCAAAATAAACAATAATAGACTGTGAACTTTTGAGTATCTTTTTCTCCTTGTTGAAAATCAATAGACTAGATAGATATAATAAATATTTAATACATGATTTAACATTGATCATCTAGTTTATTTCATAGTCATTCAATCAAATGTATACACACGGAAATGGATTTTGTCATATTACGTGAGTAATTATTTCTAAAAGGATAGATACAAGAACTATTTTTCAGTTATATTTTGTCCAATCAAATTTCTTATACATACTAGCATATGTTACTTATCTGTTAGATATTAAATCAAGTATTAGATACTTATTTAAACAGTGATATATAAACTCAATCAAGAGATTCAAAAATAGTTATTACATTGATATTTATCATATAACTAAATACATTACAAAATCTATTAATCTCGTTTCTAATTGTAATTTTCATGATAAATAGTGTAATGTCTGCTATAAGAAACATGCGTTGGATGAATCCATATAAGTATCTAATAAAACTAATTGTTAAGATATCGTATCTATGGTACACATGGGATTTTAATTACTTTTTGGAAGAAATATGATTGCTCTTTTTTATATTTCTTATGCCGAGCAAGAGAGATATATGTTATCAGAATATCTGAAAGTTAGAATTTGAAGTATTATTGTAATGAATATAATTAACCCTAGTATTACCATCTGGGTTATTTTTGTCGGTTTTGTTGAGGGGGTATAGAGCGATAAAAAAAAGACTTTGTAGTACGAGGGTTAATAAGCCAATTATAGATATAATAATAAGAAAAGTCAATGAATATTTTGTTGTTGATATATCTGATGATGGAAACGATGATGATGGTAAACAAAATAATGTAGATTTAATAATATCATTTGCCCATTCGCTTAGATGATAAGAATTATTTGATATTCACTTCCTAATCTTAAATTTTTTAAACCACATATGATTTTAAACCCAATGAAATAAAAATATACGAACAACGATTATCAGCTGGAAGACGATAACGAATTTAAAATATTTGTTATTTCCCGAAGTCGAGACGAAAACACGTTCGCTTGTTCCGAACGCCTTGTTTACTTCGACCTAGGTCAACTTAATCAGGAGGATGAGGTATAGCTATTTGATACATCAATACTTAATCCATTCAATAAAAATGATCGAATTAATTTCATAGAAATCATTACCTTAATCAACAAAATTCAAAGACATTAATAATAATGTTCATTTCTTTTTTTGTGTTTTCCATATTGTTAAACAAGTTGACTCATACAGTATTTTCGACGATGTTATTTTTCGTCTGTTTTACAACAAAGAAACTAAACACTAATAATAAATAAACTGATTTCATTCACAATTCACTATTATTTAATGATGTCAACAAAAGATCAAACAAATTTCACGAAAATGCTCTTTTCGCAAATAACAGATTCGTTATCCAGTCACTGCCGTGCTTATTAGATTTGTACGTTACGGAAAAAACAGAATTTTATCATATAACTACTACTACAGTTGATGAAAATTAATGTAGTAATACACCGTTTTCGATATTCGTCCTGGGATAATGTTTCAAATGAAAAACAAAGATAGCCTTGAAGTTATAATTCATTTATTTTACAAATTTTCAAATAAAACCTTATAAACGTCCATTTTATGTATGTAAAAATATAAAACGAAAAAAGAAAACGAGAGACAAGACAACAAAAGAAATCCTTTTTAATCACTGTAGAATTGTTAGTTAAACTAATTCAGCTTTAATAAATCCATGTATATCTGATGAACTATTATTACCATCTTTAAAACTTCGATATGTTACAAAATTATTATCACTATTTGCTGGATAATAATGATGTACACGAAAATTATCATATGGAGAGTAACGATTCTTCTAGAAAAGATTTAACATAAATAAAATAAAAAAACAGAATTTTTATTGATAGAATTACCTTAATAATTCCATTTGAAGATGATGTATTATCTAGATAGATAAGATAAACTAGAAAATTATACAAAAAATAGAACAATTACCTTGATTAGACATATTTGCTGCTGAATATGAAGATACAAATGGTCGTTGTATATCATCATCTTCATATTTTTGATAGGAATTTATTGGAGTTGCTGTTGCTGTTGGTAAGAAAAAATTTGATGGTATTGGTTGAAATATATCAACTGTATTTGCTTCTGTTTCATTTGTACCTGTTGTTGATGAATTATCACTCGTAACATGTGATCGTCGACGTTTTATAACAAAAAAGAAAACAAGTATTATATTAATAAAGATAATTAATAAACCAATCATAAATATAATAATAAGAAAAGTTAATGAATATTTTGTTGTTGATGGATCTGATGATGAAAATGATGGTGATGGTAAATAAAGTGATGTAGATTTAATAATATCATTTGTCCATTCACTTAAATGATGAGAATTATTCGAACGAATACTTATTTGATATTCACTTCCTAATCTTAAATTTTTTAAATCATACGATTGTAAACCAAATGGAATAAATATATATGAATAACGATTATCAGTTGAAAGACGATAACGAATTTGAAATGTTTGTTGTGATCCACCATCAAAACCTGGTATCCAGTGTATTAATAATGATGAATGAGAAATATTTGTTATTTCAACTTGACTAGGAGGATCAGGTACAGCTGAATTAATCGAAAAAAAAACCAAATATTATGAAATAAAAGAACAAATAATAACTTACTGAGTCCAGTTAAAATTATATCGGATACATCAATACCTAATTTATTCTCTGCTTTACATTGATATATACCATAATCTGTTTTTGTAACATTAGCTACATAAAGTATAGCTTCGAATGTGAGATTAGGTGAAAATGAAGATGAAAGAATTTGATCATTAAATAATGTTTGATATTTCAATGATGATGGTACTACTTGATTATTCTAAAAATAACCGAAAACTTAGTCTTAAGTGCAAAAAATGATTGATATATGTATATAAATAAATGAAACTTATGGGTCACGTACAATTTTCTTTGTAGAGGAAATACGTGTGACAACAAAAATCGATAATCAGAATTCTATGTAAGACATGCGTCTAAATCAAGTTAATTGACTCTTGAGATGTTTTCAAGAAAATAATGTTCTCGAGAATTATATTATTTAGTCGAATGGAATATACTAATAATTGAAGATTTATGAGGAGTTTCTGAAAATCGAGCTATCATTCGAGTAACATTCTAGTGACTACTGAGAATTTTTGTTTGTAATGTAAAAAGAAGAAATCAATGTCATATTACTCGTGCATTTTTATTCTCTTGTAAGTTAAATATACATCTTTTTCACCAGGGTTCCCGATTGTTTTCAAAAGTGCGAGGGGATAAAATTTAGCAGAAAGTCCAGAATTTTAGCTAGAAAGTGCCATCATATAGCTTTCTGACGCATGTAACGTAGAAAATACTTAACCTATACGCTTTCTGCGGAGTTTTGCCCAAAAAAAGCGTTTTTATTGGAGTTTCTGGCGGAAAAATGGCGAAAATAGCATAAAAAACAGGTATCTGACCAAGTTTTCAGCAAAACTTTAAAAATTTTAGCAGAAAGATAGACAGATTGTTGAATTTTGCGGGGAGCTAGAGCCCTCCCCCCTAAACGGAGATCCTGTTTTTCACTAACCTTCATCCATACGACTGTTGGTTTTGGTATAGCAGATATGTGACAGTGAAATTCTGCTGTTAATAAACGATCAGCATCAGCCGCTGCTTTACTTCGACTTGGATCAGTTCGATCAATTTCCGGTGCATCTATATATATATATATCTTTATATATCAGAAAATAAAACTCATATTTACATTGAATAATTAATGGTAAAGTAGCACGACTATTTCCTAATTGATTATCTATTTCACATACATATTGTCCAGCATCTTCTCGATTAACAGATTTTCGAATTAATGATATTTCATTTTGTTCGACTCGTTTTTCCCAATGATCAGAAGATATTTCTTGATTATCTTTTAACCATCGTATACTATTTAAATTAATTGGATTTGCATCAATAACACATAAAAGGATTGCGGATGAACCAGGCATTAATGCTTCTGTTAAAGAATATCCTTGAGTTCGACTAATCATTGGTCCATCTAGAATATTTAATAAAATAAAAATAAATCTATATAAAAATTGACATACAAAGAATATTTAATGTAAAATTAGTTTCCGTATCACCAATAATATTTGTGGCTATACAACGATAAATTCCTTTATCATTTCGTTGAATATTTACTAATGCTAATTGTCCTTGATTAACAAATATATTCAATTGATCATTCATTAATTGTCTACCCGATGGATGATACCATTTATAACTAATTGGCATTGGATACGCATTTGCTTCAAGTGTAATATTAAATGATTGATTTTCTTTTACTTCAATCGATGTATAGGAATCATGGAAATATGGTTTATCTTGGAAAATTTTGAAATAGAAATTATATAATAGATAAGTATATAATTGACTTACGGTTAACATTAAGTACGTATGTAACTTGTTTGGTTAATGGTAAACTGCCGATGTTCAATATTGCTTCACATGTTAAAAGATTTCCATGAAGAGAAAGATCAATTTGTGGTAACTAAAATGATGAAAAAGTTTTATTTAAGAAAACAGAAAATCTGTATGCAGAAAAATTAACCATAAATTTAATTGAATTATTTCCATTAGTCAAAGATTTTGGTTTTTTGTATTGAATATCTAAATGTTTTTGTCCATCATTCGTTTGACGAGTGATCTTTAATTGTGCTGAAGGATTTGAAGATGAGGTACGACATTCAAATTCACGAGATTCATCATTATTCATTGATAAATTTGAAAAAAATTCATTTCCGATAATCGTTATTTCATCAGGAAGAACTATATTATATCTTAGTGTTTATTTTGACTTAAACATTAAAAAAGAAGTTACTTACAGGTAATATTCAATATAAACGATGCAAATTTTTGTGGAAAACTATCTACTTGTCCTTTACATGTCAATGGAAGATTATTATCTGAAGATGACACAATAAATTTCACTTGACTTGTCGCATAATCTCCGTTAGTTCCAGTTGTATACTCTGATTGAAGTAATTCACCACCTGAAAAAAAAAGTTTTTTGAAAAATAAAAATAAATTTTATTTTTTGTTTCGTACCTTTATACCAAACAATATTTCCTAATGGATGTCCTCCTTTAAGTATACATTCAGCTGTAAGTGTATCACCTGATTTTATTATTTTATCTTGTATTATTCCATGCATTTCGATACTTGTGGCATCATCTAGAAATTTATTTGAATAGAAAGATGAAAGTTTTAAAAATGATTACGAACAAATAACATTTAATTGTGTTGTATCAATAACAGTATGACCTGTATCAGGATTTCTTGCTTCACATGTTAAGATTTTTTTATGATATTCTTTTAATGATTTATCTAAACCAAGTGTTTTTGTTATTTGAACTACTGTACCAGAAAATTCTCCTGGTTCTTCTAATGGATCAATATCAGGAGAAAGAATTTGTCCATTTATTTTCCAAGTTACAATTGATCGAGGATTGGACGATGAAGTTCGACATTTAAATTGTCGAGGAGTTCCTTCAATTAATGTTGTTGCACTCATATTATTATCTCGAATATATACAAATGATGGACCGACTATAAAAGATAAATAACAAAATCAATGAGCTATACATAGAATTTCGATGGAGAAATATAGATCAAGTTAAGTGATCTCCAAATTTGAAGTTAACGAGAAATTGTAACTTGTAACTGTGTGCTTTTTTTTCTCGAGTATCTATTAGAGCAATCAAAAACAGATGATTATAGTTTTCAGGTAGAGTTTTTCGCGAAAATTTAGACATCCGTAAACTTCAGTGAAATATATCGAAGATAAGATAGTAACTCTGAACATAAGATTATTTCTGTCAATAACTAACACACTCTACATCAAAAAAGAATCTTCAGAACATTCTACTAATTTCTTGAAATGACTTACAAGCAACTTGTACGGTAATATTTGTTTGTAATATTTGATCTAATGAAAAAAGATAATCATTAGTAACATGACATGAATATGTCATATTATTATCTGAAGGTGTTATAATCATTGATATATTATTTATAGTAAGATTTTGTTGTTGAAATATAATCGATGAGTTATCAATTAGATTTAATCGTTTATGTTCATTGTCTAATCGATACCATGAAAGTCTTCCTAATGGATTACCACCAAAAGATTGACACGATAGAGTTAAATATGAACCATTAAGTAAACGATATGTTGATGTATAACCATAAATCATAGGACGATTTGGTGGAGATGTTATTCTAATTTCAATTGACGTATAAAGTTTATTGATTTTACCAAGTAATGTTTCATGATGAACATGACATGTAAAACGTTTCTTATCGAATAATAATGATGGTACAAATGTTAATGTACTAGTCGTTGAAAAGAGACGATCTATTATAAATATATTATTTATCTTGAAATATTATATTAAAAAGAATTTACTTTGGGTATATGTTCGTGATGCTGCTGGAAATTCATGACCAGTTTCATTAAACCATTTAATATGAGCTGCTGGTCTAGCACCATCAACTTGACAATGAACCTGATGAATTGTTTCATCATATCTTACTGTTATCATTGAACTTTGATTTGTTATTGATTGATCATGAATTTGTACATATTGTGGTTGTACAAGTGCTCGAATATGTGCAACTTGTTTAAGTGCTGGTGCATCTTTATAAGGTGAAACTTCACAAGCAAATACACCTTCATCTTCTAATTTTAATGATTGAATCATAAAATTAAATTCCCCGCGATTTTCATCACCATTTATAGACCAAGTTGGAAATGCAGGTAATTGTCGATCATAACCTAAAAAAGAAAAAAGGTCAAACTTCTTTTATGTCTGATCATTATTCATGTTAATAGTGTAGCAGAAGATAGAGCATATATGTCAATCAACGCTTTTATTTCTATTATGATAATAATATATAATTGCAATGCAGATACATAAATCGCTACTATTTCATACTGAAACAATATTCTATTCTGCCTTAAATTTTTCTATTATATACGTCTATAAACTTACCCAATGCAAGACCATCTTTAGTCCATTGAACATCTCCATGAGGTAGAGCAATTACACATGGAATAGTTATATTAGAACCAACTAAAGCAGATACATCATTAGGTTGAATCCGATAGAATTGATTGTCACAATTTGATAAATCTAGAAAAAAAAAGTGGCTTTTCTCTGTTTCTTCTTTTATTTTAATTATCAATACTTACATAAAATTGCATAGATTATAAGCAATTGTATAAGCAGGCTTAGTGGCATTTCTAAAACAGACAACGGTCAGACATGCTATAATCAAGATGGATTGAATCTGTTTCTCCATCCTATTCTCAACAATAAACATACAATTACATTCTATCCAACTCTAACTGACCATGCATATGCACACTTGACAAGGCTTCTTTAATATCAACAAAAGCATTGAAGCATACAGGTGGAAAGATGCTCTGTTATATATAT